GCGGCAGGGGAGGAGGGCTCGAGGAGAATGCACTGGGGAGGAGGGTTCCCTGGAGAGGAGACCAGGATAGGGTGGGGCTCGGCCGCACCGGAGCAGACGCTGAAAGGTCTAGGCAGTCTGTGTCCTTGGTGCTACCCGAGTTCGAATCCGGCTCCTCTTCTCGGAGGCGCCGCTCCCGCAAGCCCCCTGGGAGACGGTTTCCGAGGGGGGGGACCCCGCGGCCGGCGCGCTCTGCAGAGCCTCAGTTTCCCCTTCCCCGCTCGGGGAACACAGATGGCGCGCCTGGCCAGGCAGGAAGGGGCCCCCGCCGGCGGAGGCGCGGAGCTGGCACGGGCGCCCAGCAGCTGGGACTTTTGGCAGCCGGTGGCAGCCGGAGGCGTCTGGACACGAGCCCGGGCCCGGGCGGAGGGCTGCGACAGAACGGGGGACCCCCGCTCAGAGGGCGAGGGGAACCCTACACACTTATCCAGCGCCTGCTGGATGCAGGCCGGGGCTCCGTGAGCGGCCTTGTCCCGTCGGGTTTCATCACTCACGCAGCTGGGCAGGTCGCTTAGTCAGTCAACAGATGCTGAGCGCCCACGCAGGCCTTTACATCCTGGGAAAGTAAGAGTCGTCCTCAGTGGGGCAGGCGGCGTCGCTGAGCCCATTTCACAGATGGGGAAACTGAGACCCAGGAGGGAGCGGGGCCGGGCTGCTCCCAGGGGCGGGCCGTGGGGTGGCGCGGCGGGCCGTGGGAGTGGCGGGGCCGCGGGACAGCAGGAGGCCGAGCGTCCAGACTGAAAACTCTTTATTGGGCAACCCCCCCCCCCCGCACCTCCGCTGCGCAGCGTCTGCCCCTGCCCGCGCCCGTCGAGGTCAGGAGGGCTCGGGGGTGGTCTCTGACGGCGCCACGTTGTCGGCCAGCCCCAGGGACGTGGCGCTGCTGCAGCGACGGCAGGGGACGGGCCGGGCCAGCAGCTCGAGGCGGCGGGAGCGCAGGCGGGCCTGGATGGCCCAGATGGGGGGACGGTGGCAAGGCAGCGGCGCGTCGTCGCCTCCCACGCTGCCGTCCGTGGAGCCGTCGTGCGTGCTGGCCACCGACTGCTTGCACAGGGGGCAGGAGCGGCGCGCGGCGCGCGAGAACCAGGGGTCGATGCAGCGGCAGTGGTAGGCGTGCGCGCAGGGCAGGATTTTGAGGCGCTCGCCCTCCTGGTAGTCGTCCAGGCAGATGGCGCACAGGTCGCTGAGGCGCGTGAAGATGCGTACCTGCGCCTTCTGGCACGTCTGCGTCTTCACCGCGGTGCCCCGGCTGCCCCAGCCCCGCAGCCACGGCCACAGCTGCCGCAGCACGAACAGCGTGGACGCGGCCAAGGCCAGGGCTCTGGCGAGCGCCCAGGACGCGGCCACGGCGGGGTGGCACTCCGGGTCCGGGCACGGTCCCCCTCGGGGCAGCAGCACGCGCGCCGGCCGGTCGCAGCGCACCGTCACCTCCAGGTCGTCGGACACGCGCCTCCTCCCCAGGGCTTCGGGGCGCACGGGGACTGCTACGGCTCCGGCTCTCCGCGCTCGCCGCCCCGCGCGCTCCCACGCGCAGCCCAACGGCCGGACCAGCACGAGTGGGTCCAGCGAGCGGTTGTCGGGCCCAGGGCCGTCGGCGGCGAGGCAGGCGTCGACCTGCCTGTCCACCAGTCGGTATCCGCGTGCTCTCTGGGGGTCCACGGGGACCCCGAGCAGCGCCGGGAGGTCCGAGAAGTCCACGGAGCTCAGGTTCACCTGCGCGCCCGCGCGCGACGGGGACAGCGCCAGCCAGAGGGCCCCCAGGACCAGCGGGGCCCCCCGGGCCCACGCCCACCGCGCCATGGCCGCCCCTACCTCCGGCCGCCGCGCGCCGCCGAGTCCGCCGCGGGGCGGCACGGGGGACCCTCGGGCATCTCCGGGGCCACCCGGGAAGCCCGTGGCGCCTGCTGTGGCCGAACTCAGGGCCCTCACGCGGAAGTGGCTCCCGGGAACAGCGCAGCCCGCGTGATGTCCCGGAGGACCCCCGCTCTGAGGTGACCCTGGGCTCCCGGCGCGGCCGACCTTTGTGACGTCACCGCCCCCGCGCGCCGGGAGTCCCGGCCGAGGCGCCCCAGGGAGGGGGGATCCCGTCGCCCGCATCAGCTCTGGGATGGTGGTGGCCGCAGGGACCCCGGTGGCTGGGCCCAGTGTCCCCGCGCGAAGGACAGACAAGACCCGGAAGGAGATGGGGGCTTGTATTTCGGCGAGGAGACACACCCTCCCCAAAGTCCCAGAGACCGGGGAGCCCCTCCGGCCTGCCCCGCCCGGAGGCCGAGCCCAGCCCAGGGTCGCCCTGTAGCTGTGGCTGGGATGTTGCCGCAGCTGAAGACTGTCACTCTAGTGGGGAGATGAACAGCGAAACAAGAAGCTGCCTCCACCTCCCCGGAAGCCAAAGTCCGGCCGCGGGCTGAGCGCGGAGGCGAGGCCCGCCGTTTTGCTTGGCTATCTGCTGTGTTCTGATTTTCTGAGGCAGCGTCTCTCCGTGGAGCCCAGGCTGGCCTCGAACTCACCGACGTCCTCCTCCCTCTGCCTCCCGGGTGCCGGGTGAAAGCCGGGCAGGTTTTTCTCTGGCTCATACGTCACAGGGACCATCTCAGAGCGCGGACGGATACAGGAGAGAGAGCTGTCATCCCAGCACTCAGGAAGCGGAGGCAAGGGCATCGCCTGAGTTCAAAGCCAGCCTGTCCTGGCTGTCCCCCCTGTCTCAGAAGGGGGGAGGGGTCCGGGGTTTCACAAGCCCCTTCTCAAGGGCACTTCCCCACCTAAAGCCCTCCTTTCAGTCCCCGCCCCTTAAAGGCACCAACACCCGCAATAAAGCTACCACCCACCCGCCCAGCGGGCATCGCGTGGGCCCTCGGCCCGGTTCCCACACCACAAACCCCGGGTGGGCGGGCCGTCACCCCGAAGTGACTGACAAAAGGTTTCTAATTCTGAGGCCCCGCCCACCCCAGCACAGCAGTGCTGCTTCTTGAGCAGCAAGTGATACCACCCAACACGGCAATCCTCCTGCCTCACGCTCCTGCATAGCAGTGCTTGCCGAGGCTGGCTGTGGAGGCCTGGCCCGTCTCTACCTCCCGTTCTGAGACAGGGCCTTGCTGACTGGCTGGGCCTTCGGCCCAAGGACCTCGGTGCTGGCTTGAACTCTGAGGATTCGAATCCAGGACCCAGCACTTGTGTTGTGCCAGGGCATGTGTGTGTTCACAGGTGCCAGGCTTGACAGAGCAGGGCGCTTGACGATCGGCTCCTGAGGACACTGAGTCAGTCACGATGCCTGAGGGGCCCCAGGCCCGTGATCAGGCAGCTGCCACATCACGCGTTCTTTATTAGGCGCCTACAGTTTGCAGACACAGAGGACCAGTAGCCACAACAGTTACCAGGGCCCTAGAGAGGAGGAGAAAGGAGTCCTTGAGAAATCCAAGGGACTGAGCTCTGGGCGGGAACATGTAGAAAGGTCCTAGGCTATCCAGCCCGTCACCACCAGGAAAAGGGCATCGAATCTTGTGCATTCCAGAGCTGGAGCGCTGAGGCAGGAGGATTGCTTTGAGTTCCAGACCAGCCTGGGGTACAGATGAAGACCCAGTGAGAGGAAGTCAGGTGACTCGCCGGTGAAGTGGGGACACAGCTGCTTGGCCATCTGGCCGTCCTGCTGCCATCGGGTTTGGGGGAGGGGCGCGGGAGCCGAGCTTTACTTCCTGTAAGTTCGAAATTATTTCACAACAAAACATCCAGAAATCTTTAGAGAGGGAGAAAACTGGGGGGAAAGCAGCTGTAGAGGGAGGCGGGGACACCAGCCAGCCAGAGCGGGGAGGGCAGAGGACACAGCTGTCGATCAGAGAGGCAAAGATCTGGGAGTCAGCAAGGTGGGCTGACAGTCGCAGGAGTGACATCACCCCTGCCCTTTCCTATTGGTCAGAAGCGAACCACACTCCCGTTCGCACTCGCCGGGAGGGATGCGCACACAGAGCCTGCACACCAGGCGCCAGGGGCCAGGCCGGCCACGGCGGGGCCCACAGGCAGAAGGAGGGCGTGGCTTCAGGCAGAAGGTGGCCCTCCCTGGGGTCTAGAAGGAATATGGAGACCCGGGGACTGAGAGAGGAGGGGAGCAGGAGAGGGGAGAGACACTAGATCCGTACACCGTGACTTCCCCCCAGCGCGCGCCCCACAAATGGGACCGAGGGTGGAGTCGCCTTCAGGCCAGTGGGAGAGCGGGGCAGAGGCAGGAAGGCCAGGAGAATCCTGGAGGGAGGGGCTTCCCCCATGCTGCCCCAAGCCCAAGGCAAGCAGCGGCCTGCGGGTGGGTGGTCCTCGGGGACACCGGCCTCCTGGTGCCTCACGGAGACCCCGCCGCTCGCTGGGGCGTGGCTGCAGGGACCGCAGTGTGAGGCTTTCCATCCACTGCCGGGGAGATGGGATTGTCTTCCTTGGCAGCACACTTGAGGAAGCCGAGGCAGGCGTGCGTGTAAGCAGTTTGGCCAAGGTGGTGCCGGATGAGAGGTCAGATCGAATCGCCGGGGCGCTCACCGTTCCCTCACCGCATCATTATGTCCGGGCGGAGCTTGGCAGCCCAGGACTCTGCGTGGAGGCCACCAAGACACCGAGGGGCTCCCCTGCGGGTGGGTGCTGGGAGTGAGAGCAAGCCCAGCTCCTCACGGGGATATTCCAGCCAGGGCTCCACCCCCAACCACGCCCCCGGCCCCTCACCGCCTCGGCCGAGGAGGATACAGGAGGACTGAGTCAGCTGGCCTCAGAACAAAGCTCTCTGCCCCTCCCCCAGGGACCCTCTGGGAAAGGCGCCAATTAAGAGCAAATCAATTAAGCAAACTGTGCTCCGGCTTCGCCCCCAGGACTATACCCTCGGCCTCCGTGACCGGAAGCAAACGCACTTGTGGTCAGAGCTGAGGAGGGATGGGGACTCTCAAGTCAGAACTCTGAGCGGCTCCTGGGAGCCGGAGCCGGTCACGTGGTCTAGCCGAGGGTGGAGAAGGAACCTGTGAGCCAACACTGCAGAGAAGCGGGTCTGTTCCTGTCCGGGACCAGCTACAGTGTGACAGGACTGTGAGCGGCGCAGTGGGAAAAGAAGCCTATAATTTGCCCATTTTTCGTGTCAATCAAGCTCCTGAAGTCGCTGGGGCTTTTATTGTGTGCTGTCTGGGCGATTCGATATTAGAAAAAGCACAGATGAAAATCCAAGGTCTCCCTCTCCCCAACCCACAGCCATCTCCTCGGGGACTCTGCAGGGAGCCTGGACCCCGCAGAGACTCGGGAGAAGTGTCTGGACCCCGCCATTCCTGAAGCCGCTCTGCAGGGGCTTCCCAGATGCAAGGTGGGCCTCGGCGGGTGTAGTTTCTGTGCAGCAAACACGTGGCGCAGAGATCTTCAAACCACGGCAGACCCAAGGCCAGCGCCAGACTCACGCCACGGTACCCGCGTCCAAGCAGACCTGAGGCCAGGAGAACGAGAACAGCCTCTCTACTGCACACCGGAGAGACGCAGCACGTTTGTTACCCGGCAGTAGCTGGCTGTTAGCTCTTAGGAACACATCCTAAGAGCTTTTCTGGCTCCTGAGGTCACCTGGATGGGCAGAGGCTGCAGGAGCGTCTGTGGTCGACGAGAAATGACCCGAGTCACTTCCGGGCCAGTCCTGGGAGCTAGCGGGAGGCACCATGGTGAATGTGCTGATGTGATGAGAAGGGACCCCTGCTGTCAGCCTTGGAGACGGGGGGGGGGGGGGGCGTTTGTAACACAGCAAAACTAAGCTGATACTATCTGACACAACAAAACTGAACTGTCACCGACTTACAGCAGAAGGGGCTGCTTCGGTTGGCTCCTTGGCGTTCTTGTTTGTTGGAGACAGGATCTTGCTCAAGCCCCAGCTGGCTCAGAACCAGGAATCCTCCGGCCTCAGGCTCCTGGGTGGCAGGATGACACGTGATCCCCAACCAACATGGCCACCATGATGGCGTCTGTGGAGCTCCGCCCCTGGACTCTACTCCCGGGCTCTAGCATTAGTTCCATTTTACAGAAGTGGAAACTGGTGCTCCGGAGCAGGCAGAGACCCCTCAAAGCTGTTTAGTGAGTCTCAGCTGGACCCTCCCTGTTCCCAGGCCTGGTGCCATCACCTGGCACCCTCGTCACCAGTCCGAACCCAGGCCACCCCTAGGAGCCTTCTGAGCCCTAGATGCCCTGGTCCCCAGCCCAGGAAACCTGTTCGGCAGAAAGTCTTATCACGCACCCGGCGTCACCAGGATGGCTGCTGAGCCCTCGACTTGGGGTAATTAGCAGTGTTCTGGGACGCCCTGCTTGATTAAAAGCACATCATCCGTTCAGAATAAAAATTCGGGAGCAAATTGCTTTTGTTGCCACCACTCTGCTATTTTCAACCCCGCTCAGCTCGTGGGCTAATAAAGCCCGTCACTCGGCTGTCACAGGTGCCCCGGACCAGCCATTTGCACCGCTCCTACAAGGCTGTCGACTGCCACCGCTGTCCCCAACATCAGCACAGCCTGGAGAGGCTCTGTCAGGCTGTCAGACCCAGAGAGGCCCTCGCTGGCCTCAAGGTCACCCTCAGATCTGCTCCTGAGACTTCGGAGATGGCTCAGTGGGGGAAGCATCCTGCATGCAAGTGTGAGGGTCTGAGTTCGAATCTCCAGCACCCACTTAAAAAATGGCAAAGGTGGTGGGGTGTGCCACGACCCCAGTGTTACGGACGAGGAGTTGAGCACCCCTGGGGCTTGTGGGCAGGCTGGCTTAGCACAGCTACTGACTCCCAGGTTCAGTTAAACTCTGTTGCAAAAACAAGGTGATGACATCTGGTTTGTGGTCTAGTCAAGAATACCCCGTGTGTCGGTGACCCTCAGATCACAGGCTGAGTCCTCATCAGCAGTCTCCACCAGCCGGCCCCCTCCCTCTCTCCTGCCCTTTCTCCCTGT